GATTTAATGAACTATACAGTTGTGTTTTGCCATGTCAACCATCATAGGTGGGCATCTACATCTTGAGAAATCAAATGTGGGTGAATCCTTGCTGATTTAATGAACTATACAGTTGTGTTTTGCCATGTCAACCATCATAGATGGGCATCTACATCTTGGGAAATCAAATGTGGGTGAACATACTGAGTGGAGAGATTTGTCTACGCAGTCTTGTAAATGTAAGTCACAAATAAAAATTCTATTCTTATGTTTCATACTTTTTTTTTTTTAATACCAAGGAGAGAAAACACATCAGTGTTGAAAACTTAAATAACAGTGAGTACTGCACACGTTACTAAGGTAAAATCAATTATTCAGGTAAGAGAACCGACTTTCAGAAAGACAGCTGGGCATTGAATGGCCAGTGGCAGATAGATGAACTCAGGATTGTATGACTCAAAGGCCATATTGGTTCCATCATTCTGAGATACAATTTCTAAGAAAAAGAGACAAAAAGCTCTGGGTTTCTGTAGGAGGGGCAGGTGGGGGCTCCTGAGTGGCAGAGGGCACTTCCGCTGGGTCCATGGAGATCTTTGGGTCTAGATGGGCCACATTATCTTGCTTCAAGAAGGAATCCCAAATCTCAATTCTGGGCTTATTATAAAAACAAAATCATTTTCTGTAAATATCACTGTGGGGACTCATTGGCCCTCCAGAGCCATTGTCCTGTGGCAGTGGCAGAGCCCTCGTTCCTGGGCGTTGTGACATCTCCAATCCTTCTTGCCTCTTTTTCCAGTCACTGTAGCAAGGTTAGAAAGGGCAGGACACCAGAAGTGACACACTGGTTCTTCATGGCTCATTGACCAGAACAAGTCATGTGGCTCTGCGTATTTTACGGGGTGGAAAGTGAAATTCTCTGAGCTCAGCAGTGCAAAGTTGAAGCTGTGAACGACAGAGGAGGTCAGCATTTCATCTGGTAACTGTGGAGGCATGAAGCTGGAGAAGTGCAGGAGTGAAAACATACCTGTAAGATGGTGAGACAGATACTCTGCTTAGAATTCACATACAAATAGTAGGAAAATAAAACTGCAAAAATAACTGGATGGTTAGTTTTGATGCTAGGGTTTTACTGGGGTGAACACAAATGGGACACTATTAGAGCAGTGTCTGCGGAGGCTTGGTTTCTGATGAGGAGAGGATGCAAACTAAAGGATGGTGTGACAGAAAGAAGTGCTGGCATTAGACAAAGGGGGTGGACTATGAGCAAGAAGGGAGTGTTGGGGCAGTACCAGGGTCAAAGAGATGAGCCTCTTAAATCAAGCATTCACAGAAAAGTCAGTAGATAAGTGACAGCAGAGGAAAGGCTGGCTTGGCTGTGATCCCAGCTTGGCTCAGAGTTGGAGACTGGTCGGGCGCTGGGGACTCTGGGTAAACATAGGTGAGAACTGGTTTTCCTTTACAGAGAATATACAGTTTTAAATGGTACAATATATACTGTGCCAGATTCCTTAAACTTACTGGAAAGAAAACAATTAGGGTAACACAGCCCCCTCCTTTCAAAACAGAAAAACACAGTAAGGTATTACAGCCTTCTAAAGCTTAAAGTCCTGCAGACTTCAGAACTTTACTGAAATCTTCTGAACAAATGGAAGTTCTAACGCAGAGCCTTTTAATAATTAAAATGAAGAGATGCGTAAGTTAAAATTTAATGATTTTTCTCCTATGTGGTGCAGTTTCCCTCACACATCTATGCAGAGTTCTTCAGAATTTCCCTGAAGCTGTCCATGTTTAAATCTAGAGCAGATATGTGTTAGTGTCTTATTTCAGATACTTGGAAAGCAATTTGCAAGCTTTCATTGGATTTGGCTCTCATAGCAGCTCAGGAAGGGCAGTTAATGTATGTTATCATCCTTTTTTATTTCCCACATGAGGAGACTGAGGCCCAGATAGCTACAAGGACCTGTTCACAGTCCTAGGGAGGGTCAGAGGTGGATCACAAACCTGAGAACTGTGGCTGTTGGCCAGTGTTGTTCCTCTTACAACATGCATGGTCAGTGTTGGAGTGGAGACAGGCTCATCTGAGCGGAAGTGTGACCTTAGAAAAGAGACACAGTCACAGGTCAAATGGAACCTGAAGACATATTTCAGCCAATGAGTCTCAATCCCAACCTAGTATATCAGACGTAGTGAAGGAGACCTACCTGATGCTCTGACTTGCTGTATTGCTTTGTGAAGGCATATTTGCTGGATTTAAGCCATTTGAAATTATATACATATATGTAATTTGCCTTTTTTTTTTCCAAGACAGTGTTTTCTCTATATAGCCTTCACTGTCCTGAAACTCACTGTGTAGCTCAGCCTCGCTTTGAACTCACAGAGGTCTACCAGCCTGTGCCTCCTGTGCTGAGATGAAAGGGATTTACCACCACTGCCCTAATTTGCTTTTTGAGAGCTGGTGTTCTGCTGTTCCCAGCTTTCCTTCTTTACCTCATAATTTCTCAGTCTTCTCCAAGTTATCCTTTCATGCATTTTCACATTTATTTGTTTGTTTTTCTAGCCTTGGCTGTCCTGGACTGGCTTTGAAGAGCTGGCTGCCTTCAAACTCACAGAGATCTGCCTGCCTCTGCTTCCCCAAGTGCTAGGATCACAGGCGTGGGCCACGGTGCCTGGTTGCCACTTTTTTAAACTATTTTCAGAATATTATTTTTATCCCTCTGGAGTGAATCTCTCTAGATTGCAGATTGTGATGGTCTCTTGACATTTAGTCTCTTCACACACTTAAAAAAATTCTGGTTGGTTAGCTTATGCTACACATAGTAGTCTCTTTGCTCGTCTTTTTTCTTGCTAAGGAGGGCTTTGACTGAGGGAGCACCCTGCTGTCACCAATGGGCTAGAGGAATCAGATTCACTCACTGGATGGACTAACAGTTACTGGTTAGAAGTCGGCATCGCTGGCTTCTCTTCTGCTGCACATTTATGTAGATCACCCCTGCATGCTACGTTGGCAGTAGCTTTCTCCTCTCCACAGCACTTTCAGCCATCCTTCCTCACCCAACAAGAACCAGACCAATGGCCAGGAGGACTCCCCTGTCAGCTCCTTCTCACCACTGTGTATGTCCTTCTGACAAGGGTGCTCTGTCACATCCCAGATGCTTCCATTACTGGAAATCCACATCTCCCCTTTATTCTTCATGTATATTCAGGGCAGGTGTGTGGCAGAGTGCTTCAGGGCACATATTCATTAACACAATCTTAACAAAAGGCTGGAGTCAAGTTTTCACTTCTCATGGCATTAGCTGAAAATGTCAACAACAATTTTAAAATGTCTAAGTGGCATTGCATTTTTAAAAGCGAGTAAAACTCTTCATTTTTTCTTTCTTTCTTTCTTTCTTTTTTTTTTTTTTACTTGAAGACATGCTAGTGGATAAAGATTTTTCCTCAGGGAGTGTTCTTAGACATACTTTCAGAGTTTCACAAACAAGGCACTTCTCAATACTCTTTTTGTTTCTCTTATTTCTATTGTTGGTGAGGAATTCTAAAATGTAATTTTCTTTTCAGTTGATATGTGCTTTTTACTTCTAAAATAAAACTTGTTGGTTATGGTGGCCTGTGCTTGCAGGACATGCTGAGAAGGTGAAGGCCAGTCTGGACTACACCTTTTAAAACCACATGTGTTGTGTACTTTTAATTTCCACAATCAAGAGGCAGAGGCGGGTACCTAAGAGTCGGAGGTGAGTTCCAGACCACCCTGGGCTTAGTGTTTGCTCATACTGAGATCTTGTTTAAAAGAAAAAGATTTAATGAAAATTTGCATCATTTTTCCAGCAAAATTTTATATATATATACATATATATGTATATATATTCTATATAGCTCATATTAACTATTATGTATATGTATAATTTTTAATTAGCATTAAAACATACAAAGTAAGAAGATGAATTTGAATTGTTTGTTCTTATAATATGCATTATATTCACAATATCTACTATTATTACAGGCTTTGTAAAGATTTGGTGTGGGAATAAAGTTTGTCATGTGGCTTATCTTGGCAGCATTTTTGTCTTCAGTATTGGGGTTGAACACAAGTAGATACACTCTACCACTGAGCTATATGCCCTGGCAGCTTGTTTTGTCTAGCCATACCACATAGAGGGTGAAGTTGTATTAACATTATATAATGAGTCAAGCTTTTTATCATCAAGTCCCACTGCCACCTTCCACCTCCCTTTTTCTTAAGGCTGAGTTGTACGACATAGTCATGGCTGGCCTGGAGTTCACTATGTAGAGCAGGTTGGCCTGAGTCACAGAGATCTGTCTGCTAGGATTTAAAGAAGGGCCTGCATCACCCCTCCCAGCTTCTACAATCCTTTTCTATCACAATTCTCTATAAAAACAGCTTTCTGGAAAATTTACTAGCTAATCTAAAATAACAGGCTAAATAACAGGCACATACAAATATAATGGAGTAGAAAAATATTAAGTCAAGTGCATACTTTTGGAAACCTAATCTGGAATTCCTCCCTTCCTCCACCTTTCCTTTCTTCCTTCCCTTCCTTGATTCTTGCTTCAAGAAACTAATCAACATTGACCTTTCTAGCCTGTGGGTTCTGAAGGAAGTCAGCTGTTTGGTTTTTAAGGTTAACAAGCTAGAGCAGCTTTCCTATGTAGATGCTTCGTGGAAGACTATCTACAGTGTGCTACCTCTGCCTATACCTGTTACATCCTTTAAGTTACATTTTGTTTAAAACCCATTCTTCAAATTGCTGTATCTACTAAAATGATTTGTAAACCAGCTTGTGCAATCAGGAAACCGAAACGTTTCAACATTCTATTAACTTGCCTAAGTATGAAGGCTATTGGTAGTCAAGTAAATACAGTTGCTGTATTTGTGCCATTTGTTTTTCTTAGATTTTTTTTTTTTCTTTCTGGTACTTCTGGGGGCTTGTGCAAACTGAGGCATAAAAAGGTTTATTACATATAGTTGGTGGTAGAATTTGGTTTTAAAAATGCCTCACTAAAAATGAATTTCAAAGGGGAGATAGTTCAGTTGGTAGAGTACTTGCCTAGCATACAGGAAGCCAAGTGTTCAAACCCCTCATGCTGCATGAGCGGGAAGTGGTGGTACACGCCCACAGTCCTCTTACTCAGGAGGGACACAGAGCGGAGGGTCAGTCGTTCAAGGTCACCACTGGCCACACAACAAATACAAGGCCAGCCGGAGATACATGAGACTGAAAATACACACACATACACACCAGAGAAAAGAAAAAGGGAAACCTAGAGTCTAGCCACAAGTTCAGTTACTTGTTCTCATATATTTTCCCCATCATATTAGTACTGCTGGTTTGTTTTTGTTTTTTTGAGACAGGGTTTCTTTGTGTAGCCTTGGCTGTCCTTGAGAGTGCTCAAGACCAAGATGGCCTCCTACTCAGATTCACCTCTTCTGCCTTCCGAGGGCTGGGATTAAAGGTGTGCACCACCACTGCGCAGCTCAGTACTGGTGATTCTTATTGTTTAGTATGTAACTAAAATATTTTAACAGCTTTCAAAGGGAAAATCAAGAGTTAAGTATAAAGTGGAAACTTACAGATCAAAACTAACAGAGTACAGCCAGCCTCATCTAGTGCAGCTTTGTTGAGCTTTGCATACACGCTTTCATTGAATCCGTCTCTGTACTGATGTGGTTAACAAACCTCATAGCTTTTTAGGTTTTTCTTCCTTTTCTACATCATGCTGTCATGCATGACCAGTCACTATACTTATGAACCAAAAAGGATCAGGGTTTTATTTTTACACATCATTTGAATATCTCTACACATAATTCTTTTTATGACATTGGTGACAGAACCCAGGGCCTCATGCATTTAGGAACCTTTGTACCACCAAACTGCAGTCTCAGTGAGCACTTGGCCTTGAGTTTGCAATCTCCCAGCCTAAGCACCTGCCTCCTTCATACTCAGGTTATAAGGTATTACCTGTCCCTCCCCCTTATGTTCAGGCTATAGATTATACTACCATGATTGCCTTTGTCTTTTTGTTCTTATATAGGATATCACAGCACATGATTCAAACATTATTTTGGTGCCCCTTTCTTTTTCTTGAACTTCCATTTTACTACGAAGGATGACCTTGAACTCCTGACCTTCCCACGCTTGCCTCCCTGTTCTTGGAACACAGGCTGGTCTCTCACTCCCCACTTATCTTTTGTGTCTCCAGCAATGACAACCAGTGGAAGAATGGGTTAGCCCAGAGCTTTTCTTGGCTAAACACATAATAGTTCTTAGTATTTGCGACTGTGAGAGAATCACAGGTATTCTGTAGATTTCAAGTTGCTTTTAAGCCTTTATCAATAAACTAATGACTTACTATGAGTTACAGTTTGGGAACTGATTCACTGCTGACGATGATACAGAGGAGCTTTTAAGTGAAACAGAAACCAAGGATAACTGACAGTGCTTCAGAGCCATCTCTAAGCCCTGCATTGTGCAGTGGCCTCTCTACCTACATATTTTTTCCCCCATAAAAACACTGCAGAGTCCATACTTGATTTCTAGCAATACTGAATTTTCCCTTTAGCAACAGTGCCGTGAGCATTAGTTGTCTAATCGCTAGCTTTGCAAACGAATTCTGTAAGAGCCAGTATTTTTCAGCAGGAATAAAGCTTGTACTGTCAAAATCAGTTTACACTGCCGCTATCAGTGGGAACTATGCGTGTGGAGGCTAGTGAGGGTCCTGAGCTGCACTGCCACTGGGGATCTCATCGCAGTAAAAAGATGAGTCCACACTGAAGCACGGGAACTTAGAGGCACAAAGGAACAGAGTGCGAGGACAGGAAGAGGCATTCACACACATCTGCTTTTTTGCAAATCGCCCCTCTTTAACTTCCAGAAGAGGATGAGGGGTCTATGGAAGAATTCATTCCCCATGGCACGAGTTCAACGCCAGGCTCCGCTGCTGAAAAGCCTCCTTATGTAGCGTTTCTGTGCTGGTGCAGTCGCAGAGCAAGGGAAGACAAAGCCCAGGCTGGAGGACAGATGCTCTTCTTTGCTACAAAAGGAGGAAATCCAACGGGTACAGAGAAAACATGTCTTCACAGTGGAAAAGGGTGATAGCAGAAATAAAGAGGGCGTGTCAAAGACAGCGTTTTACTATTCTCTTAGCTTCTGTGATGTCTTTTCCTTAGGGCATGCCATAGATCATGCCAGACACCAGTTTTACCTGGATGAATGGGGGATATGGTTTAAACTCCAGCTAACAAATACTTCTGGCAAGGAAGAGGCAGAGAAAAGGACAAAGAAACAACCTCTCTAAAACCCGTATTTACTGTTGAAGTTGATTTTTACGTTTTTAGCGTCAACGAGACGCTTCAAAGGATAAAAAAAACCAAACCAAAACAAAAAAAAAAAAAACAAAAAAAAAAACAAAAAAAAACAACTCACGCTAATGTCTCTCCTGTTCTTTAACTCTGGTTCGCTGTCTCTTCCGAGGTGGCGTGCGCTCCCCGGAGACACAAAGGCCGCGGCCGCTCCCTGCCCAGGGCTGAGGAATGCGGGGGATTCAAACAGCACCCGGAGCCGGAGGAGGACTCGGAAAACATTTGCACTGACGCTCACACACAACCATAATAATTTATCTTTCCTCGGGAGAAAGGTCAGCTCGGATTTGACCCCAACAGCCAGCGCACCCCGGGGGTCAGGGCCGCGGCAGGATGGCGGGCCAGCTCCGCCGGTCGCGCTGTCCACGCCCACCTGTCCACCCGGCTCCGCAGCTCCGGGCCGCCCCGCCCGTCAGGACGCCGCGCCGCCCGGCACACCTCAGCCTGCCCAGGGCGGACCCGGCGCGGCCCTGCGACCCAGTGGCTCCGGTCAGAGGCCGCGCGGGCGCGAGGACCCCACCGCCCGCGTCAGGACTCGGGACGGCTGCACCGAGGGCGGCCCGCGGACAGCCGGCGCGCGCCCGGAGCGCGCCGCCGAGCAGCAGCACCT